GCTTTGATCGATCGTATAGTTAAATATTTCATTCGAATAAAGCTTAATCATTTTAGGCATATACATATAATAGAAATAAGCTGCTTAACTAAACAGATTAAACAAGATTTGCACTTACTTTCGTCATTGTTATAGTGGCATCATACTGAAATTGTGCAATATAATCGCATTAATAAAATGTGGTATAAACATATTTCAAATTCATTTTTTTTTAATTCATTATTTTCAACAAGATATTTAGATAATTATAATGAAATGATAAAATCATATCTTAATATTTCTAACTGCGTTATTTGGAGCAAGTAGAAATTGTTACAAATTTAATTTTCTTAAATAAATCAGGTGCAGTTAATTCGTGAACTCTAAATAATGCGAAACAATTCAAATTATTGCACGCAAAAAATACTTTGTGTAATGGATAATAATACACATAATATTGCACGGTAAGCTTCGCGATGTGGTTATTACTACCACCAAAAACAGTTCTTCTTAGAAGTTTAAAATGCCTTCGAGGTGTTGGTCACTCTCGACCAATGTCAGTCAGTTAATGCAAGTTTCTTCATGCAAAGTCTACATATATATACACATAGATTGTTTGGATACTCTGAATTCAAACAAGTACGTTGCATTTACAAAACTCCTACAGCGTATATTTACATACGTATGTCAATATATAATATGCATTGCATAGCAGTTGATTTATTATTTCGCTAAAGAAATAACATGGGACTCGGCTTCAAATTTAGATATAAAAGAAATTAAAATTAAAATTATTGAATAAATATTGTACTTTATTTATGAATTTGTATTTTTTATTGTTGTCATGACCGCAAAGTCCAGAACTTTCTAACAAAGTAATTTACGGACGATCTTGTTTTCTAAAGGTTTTCGAGATTTGTTAAATTTGATTCTGGTCTCAGAATTTAAAAAAAAATTAAATTTCAAAAAAATTAATTCATATTTTAAAAAACTAATTACTGTAAAACTCGAATTTTAAGAGGTTCTTGATATTGCTGAGTTTGAATGAATTAAAATAGCTTGAAAACGTCGAATTCCGAAAAAGTAATCTCCATGAAGGATTCTAATGTCACAAGATTCATAAT